AAAATGCTAACGACTTACCTAACATCGAATCAAAAATTCAAAATGCCATAAACCAGTCATGAGTACTAGTCTTACCAAAAGAAAAAAAAAAAAAAGGTCATGAGTACTAGTATTTTAAATTATTTTTATGATTGGAAAGTTTTTTTTTTTTTCAAGTTACTATTACAGTCAGCTCCAGCCTTCAGCCCTCTGATTTCTTTTTCTTTTTAATTTTGTTTCACGTGTCTATCCATGCGCAAAGCTTTAAGTCCTTTTATTTATTTTTAAAGAGTAAAGAAGTCAAACGAGAAACACAATCTTAATTCACCCACTCTGCTAATATTCTCCAGGTGTATCTAATTTATTTCTATGTTCTTGATCTCCTTTGTGATTTTTAACTTAGAAAAATGTGTACATGGTAAATCGTAGTTTTTCCATGGTTGTAATAATTAGAAACAAAGAAAATAAATAAAAAAATTGAAAATAAAAAGATACCACATGTAATAATAGATCTTAGGTCTTAATTATATAGGATGTATTTGACCTAATAAAAATTTAAAATTTTATTTTAATAATTTCAGGTACTTTGATACATTGAGACAGATGGATAGAGGTAGATAAAAAAGACTAAGGGACTGTAGGGGCACTGTTACAAAGGGATGTTACAAAGGATCGCTCATATGTATAAAGGTGGTTGTGTAGACTATCGTCTTTGTTCTCACCTTTTGGCAAGCATAAATAGTTCAGGTGACTGTCTAAATAATTGTATAGGTTGAGTAGCTCTTATATTTACATTAATAAAATTGCTCTTTAAAAAAAAAAAAAAAGAGAAAGAGAGATAGGGAAATGGAAAAATATTTCCCATATAAAGAGAGAGAGAGAGAGAGAGCGCTAGGAAACAAGTAAAGTCCGCTGCCTTCGGACTCCAGAGCGGTCATATAATTCAAAAGGAATTGGGGACCAGGCGGGTGCATCATTTTCTGATTAGTACTTTGGTAGTGATACCGCTGGCCGGCTGTGCCTTGTGGTAGTGAAACCGCTGGCCGACTGTGGTTCGTGGTACTGATGCTGCTGGCCGACGACGGTGGCTCCTGATAGGTGCGCCTGTCGACATCGAGCGTGTTCTCTCACACGGTATTGTGATTGCTGCTTTTTATATATGTTGACTTTTATGTTGAACATATGGTTTGGACGCTGCCTCCGACTGTGCCCAATTTCTTTCCAACCTTGCGAATCTTGTGTTTCCTCGGAAGGGTCAAGCCTCAGATATCTTCTTCAAAACATGAAAAACAGATTATCAAACACTAAATTTCAAAGTACATTGTATAGGGAACCACGGCAAAACACACATTAATTATATTTCTTGGTCTTGCACGTTCACAAAGCATAATTGTTCAATTGATTTGTCTAATTAATATATTCTTTAAACTGCCTCAGCTGAATTGGTATGGTCTTGTACACATTGGTAGAAAACATGGGCTCAATACAACATAGGATATTTAACTTAAAATTAATTGACAATTGCTAAAGTAATTCATATATTTTTAATGGGAAAATTTTCACTTTAACAGTTTAACATAACCCCTTAGTGCAAGCCCATTGAGCTTGTCACATGAACTTTAGAGACTCTCAAAAAAACAACTCCAATTGTAGAAGAAACA